GAGCGCGGCTCCCTAGGGCGTCGCGACGGGGCAGCGGGGGGTCGCGCGCGGCTCCCTAGGGCGTCGCGACGGGTCAGCGGGGGCCGAGCGCGGCTCCCCAGGACGTCGCGACAGGGCAGCGGGGGCCGAGCGCGGCTCCCCAGGGCGTCGCGACGGGGCAGCGGGGGCCGAGCGCGGCTCCCCAGGGCGACGCGACGGGATAGCGGGGGTCGCGCGCGGCTCCTCAGGGCAGCGCGACGGGGCAGAGGCAGCGCCCACGGGCGACACGCGGCTCGGCAGGGCAGCGCGCTGGCTGCAGGGGCGGCTCTCGGGCCTGACGGGCCTGCAGGGGCGGCTCGGGGGGGCCTGACGGGTCTGCAGAGGCGGCTCGGGGGCCTGACGGACCTGCAGGGGCGGCTCGAGGGCCGTACTAGCTTGCAGGAGGCAGCGCGAGGGCTGCAGGACGGCACGCGGGCAGACCGAAGGGCAGGTCGCACGGGGGCGCACGAGGGCGCACGTAAGGTAGGGCGCACGAGGGCGCACGAGTATAGAAAGGCGCACGAGGGCGCACGTAAGGTAGGGCGCACGAGGGCGCACGTAAGGTAGGGCGCACGAGGGCGCTTCTAGCGGAATAGTGGGCCCGTAGGAGAAAGCGGTCCTAGGTAGCAACCTAGGCTCGTGATACCATGTTAGAATGTAGAACTGAACGAGAATGTGTGAAACTAGGCAGCAGGGTGATACAAGTAGGAAACCCTAGCAATGTTGTACCCCCTAAGGCTAAACCCACTATAGCCTACACAATATGAACATGTATAATGTTTGACAGCAAACCCTAACAGGGCTGTACTCACTATAGAGTACCCCACTATAGACTAGAGAAATATAACATTCTGACACACCCCCATAATCAAAGTGGGGTATAATCAGCACAGCAAGCAGTCACAGAATAGTTCACAAGTACAAGTAAAGCTAGAGGCAGTCGCAGAGGGCAAGTGAGGAGGAGGAGTGACTGTGAGAGGAGAGGAGATGAGAGGCGACGGCTGAAGCTGCAGACACACGTGCAACAGGAGCGGCTGGCTCAGTGGCTACCGGAGATTGTAGCCTCCGGACTACATGAGCAACTGGCTCCGCGGCTACGCCGAGCGGCTGGAGCAACTGACCCACGGGCGACTGGCGCAGCAGGCTCGCTGGGCTACCGGAGATTGTAGCCTCCGGACTACTGGCGCTGCTGGCGACGCGACGGCTACCTCCGCCCAACCTCCCCCAACCGTCCCACCCCCCTTTCACACACCCCCTGCTGCACCCCTAGCTCCACTCCCACGACACCCCCCTAGCACCACTCTTTCGGCTCCCACACACCCACCCCCCTCAGCGGCAGCTGCAGCAGTGGGAGACGGAGGAGGAGGAGGAGCAGGGGACGCCTCACACACCCGCCACCCCCATAGCCGCCACCCCCACACCCCAAACGCAGGCGGCGTGGGGCAGAAACGCGGGCAGCAGTTGGGGCGGCGTGCGAGCAGAAGCGGGGCAGCGCGCGGGTCCCCGGGGCGCCGCGACGGGCGACGGGAGGGGGCGACGCGCAGGCCCCCAGGGCGCCGCGACGGGCGACGGGAGGGAGGGCGACGCGCGGGCCCCCAGGGCGCCGCGACGGGCGACGGGATGGCGGGGGGGGGCGCACGCGGGTCCCCCAGGGCGCCGCGACGGGCGACGGGATGGCAGGGGGGGCGCGCGCGGGTCCCTCAAGGCGTCGCGACAGGCGACGGGATGGTGGGGGGGGGCGCGCGCGGGTCCCCCAGGGCGCCGCGACGGGCGACGGGATGGCGGGGGGGCGCGCGCGGATCCCCCAGGGCGCCGCGACGGTTAGGGCACCGTCGCACGCCTCGGGGCGCACGACGGGCAGGGCACCGTCCAGCAGGACGGCGCGACGGGCAGGGCAGAGCCGCGACGGGCAGAAAACCGCCGCGCGCTCGGGAAGAAAAAACGCCGCACGCCACGAGCGCGCGGCAAGCAGAAAACGTCGCGCGCCCCAGGCGCGCGACAGGCAGTACAGCAGCGGAAGCTTTAGGTGGGCCCATCCACAGGATCGACCAGGGAGGGTCGACCTGCTCTGATACCATGTGAAAGATAGAACGATGAATGAAACAGAGAAGGGGGGTTTCACTAGCAGGCAGTTGAGTAAATATAGCAAACCCTAACAGGGATGTACTCACTATAGAGTACCCCACTGCAGACTAGAGAAATATAACATTCTGACACCACCCGCCGACTTCACGAAGCTGGCGTCCTTGCTCGTCAATTAACCCCTCGTCGACCACATCAGTCAGTGTCGGCCGTCGACTTCCCGTAGTCCGTGGCTTTGCAGTGGTGCTGTGCAAGTCGACCAAGTCTATCGACTTGCTCGCCCAAGTCGATGTCGACCACCGTAGGCAGTTGGCTGCACCTCCCACGCACCCGACCATGAAGCCGGCTTCGCCCAAGCGAGGGCGGGGCCAACTCCTGTCAACAGCCGTTGGATTGAGCACTGGCGAGAACAATTGCAAGCAAGGCACGAGAGGCAATGAGGCATATACAGTTAGGCAAAACCAGGTTCGAGTAATCATAGCTCGTTATCTTACAATTAAGGTACATTTCTGTCTTGACTTTGTGTCACAATCCGCTCTGTACCGAATCAAACCACTTTGTTAAAACATTTCGAACTTGGGTTCGATTCGGTATAGAGCGGTACCTTGGGATTGTGACACAAATTTCAAGATAGGAATGTACCCTTAGGCACTCACCTGAAGAAAAGTCGCCTTGTGGTGGTCACGCCCGTTTGAAACACCCAAAGCTTCAACTTCTCGCTAGCGGCGGTGCACGCGATCATCGCCGTCATCTGTTCTTTCTGGTATCCACTGCTACGGATATGAGCTGACCACATCCCTATCTCCTCCACGGTTTGAGCTGCCGGCATCTCAAGCTAAAGTGAAGTTCGGTCGGCGTTGATTATCCAACGATTCTCAATGTTGTACACCTATCAGGTGTTGGGCACGAATCTCTAGAAATTGAGCCCCTGTTCTTCACATTCTCCAATCCATGAAGACAAAAGGTGAAGGGTTTGTACTGGTATGATACAACACATCGATGTCAATGACAAACAAGTGAAATACAGCGTTCAGGTAGAGCTAGCAAACAATTATCAATGTTTTCCCAATAACAGGTTAGAATTCAAGAAGGCCACAGGGGTTGATACTCACAGTCATACATATTCTTACCCAGGTTTGTTTTGGCTTGCATAGAGAGATTCCAACGTCAACAGAATCTATTCGAAAACCTCTGAAAACCTTTACAGCTGTGGCACACTCCATTGGTCACAGTAGTTTCTTGACAAGTGAACAGTAGTTCTTATATTAATAGAGTGCAGGCAGTAATATGGGTGGGTGATAAGTGAGCAATGTGACGCGGTGGTGTGACCTACGAGGAGAAGTGAACTGGTGTGACATATTGTTTCCTTGCAACCCGCAACCAGCAGGCTCAAGCCAAGCAGCAGAAGGAAAAGAGGGGGTGGATTTGGGCAGCCTTAAGCCAATGGTAGGAAAGTAGTAATAGGGGAAAAGAGCTTAGGATGGCCACTGTTTGTATGTTCTTGTGTTTTACTGCATGTTGTTGTTAGATCCTTAGCAGTATGATTCAAGGCCATTACAAACAGCGTGAGCAGATGGGAAAGTATATTACTTTGAGAAGGAGATTGATAAGTGTAACCACCAGAAAGTGAGGAGCAAAGGGCAAACAGATAAGCAGATGCAGGGTAAGCAAAACAAGATATTGTAGCAAGAGAGGAGTCCACGTCAGAAAGGGGAGGAGGAACAGGGTGGTATGGGCTTCAGGTCAGAAACGCAAGAGCGTTGAGGGGGAGGGGTTCAAGGAAGGGGCTGAGGTGCACCTCCTTCATCAATTCTCGCGACCACTGCTGGAGCCGCCCTACCGACATGGCTAGTCCCTTAGTTCTTTCAGTGAGTAGCTACTGTACAATTGTTGCTCCATGTCCTTGAAGACGTTTACGGCAACCCGCTGCCCCGTAAGGTCGGCCCCGCCGTTTCTTCTGTGCAGCGATTTACTGTGCGGGATTTCTGCTCACGCAACACTTCGCTCACGTCCTTCACCACCTCTAGCCTCACTAGCCACTTGAACTTCTCCTGAACGGTGTAGGCATGCAGATTCTTCTTCGTCGGCCGACTCATGGGGAAAGGGGACGGGAGCCACGATTTTGGCGAGAATGGTGGGGTCGGATCTTGTTAGATGGTGGAAAAGTAGGAGCCGGCATGTGTTGGAAGTCGTTGTCTTCGCCGCCCAGTGGTATTTAACATCATCTTCTTCGCCAACTGTGGAATCGTCCGACGGACAGTCATCCACGTTGCCCCACCGCAGCCACTTCCTCGCACTCGCCATCGCCCTCCTGAGATTTTCCCAAGTGAGAGGGCCAGGAGGGGTAGACTGAGAATGTGTTGCCGTTTAAGAAGATTGCAGGGCTCAAAGGCGCGGGCGAAAGGAGCTGGAGGAGCGGGAGGGTGGCGCTGGCGGGGCAGGCGGATTAGGAGGCGCAAGCGGCGCGAATGGGACTGGTTTCTGCCATGACCATAACTCGCCTGGTCTGGACCACGGAAGAGGAGAATGATGCATGGCATGGCAACCCCTCCATGGGTTCCTAACCCCCTAGCGGATGAGAAAGAAAACTGGCATCTTTGAGGAGAATGATGAGCCCAGTTTGAGGACCCTGTTGGGTTGGGACCCCTCTTGGTGTGCGCCTATTTCCTCTGCAACTGGATTCAGAGGACCCAGCAGTGAAGCCACCCGTCATATCCCATAAAATAAGGCAATGCCGTCATTCAAGTCTTGCTACACAACACAATCGTTTCCTTGGGTGTTTTTTGACTCCATACTTTTCGCATCCATCATTGCACCTCCTGAATGCTGGAGTTGACTCAGGATTCGACAAGCATACATGAGCTTTAGTCAACAACGAGCTGATCACAGGCTGAAATACCTTACTCTGGAAGCGAGCCTTGAGGTTGAGGAGTGATCCCTGCTTCCCTACTGAAGAGTCCAACCATGGACTGATCCCCGTTGGTAACTCTGAAGCATTGACTATCTTGTCTGAGCCCAGCAGCATCAGCCCCACCATCTGCAACGCTCTCTCCAACCCCTTGGTGGCTCTCGGCCTCAGACCCATGCATGAACCATGATTGCATGCTCGATACATGCTCCTTATCACGCTTCATGTGGCAACACTCATTTTCTCCCTTGCGACTTCTCTTGAAGTTGACCGGGCGCCCATCTTCCCGGTGGTGACCAGACTCCCGGGCGTGGTTCAGCAGGCGCTGTTGATGCCGCTCCAGAATCTGCCGGTTGTGCTCCATGGCAGCGCTGAAACTTGCAAGGAGTCTGCAAAGGGGCATGCCTGGAGCTGGCACTGCTTCAGGTGCAGATGGTTGGAGAGTGGTATTGACAGGTGAATCGGCGTGAATATGCTCTTGTGCTACGGAGGGGTTCCCAGCAGGAGCAGCAACAGCAGCGGCGGAAGCAGTATGAATTGGGGTGCAAAGGGCAGCAGTAGCATTACCAGCAGAAGCAGTAACAGTGGGAGAAGCAGGAGCACTGCTAAAAAAAAAGCCAAAGCCATCATCGTGGAGAGAAGGGACAGCACCAGTGGCAGGACCAGGGGTAGTGGAACCAGGCGGATGGGAAAAAGCTCCAGCAAGAGAAGTCGTTGCATGAGAGGGCATTGATGAGGGGTGACAGGTGGGGTTATGGCTGTCAAAGCCAGTCTTTGCAGCAGCCATTGCTGATGTTCCCTGCAGATTCAGACAAAGAAGAGAGCTGAATGTTATGTGGTGGAGTGGTGTTGAAACAAAAATATGAGGAATGAGAACAGGACTAGCACTGCTGACAACACTAGCACTGCTGACAACACTAGCACTGCTGACAACACTAACACTGCTGACAACACTAACACTACTGACGGCACTAGCACTACTGGCAATGCTGATATTGTGGCTGACTATTCTGGCATTGCTGGTAATGCACATTACCTGTGATCTCCAGACACTTGACTCCTGGATATGCCCTTGATTTTGCCGCTGCTGCAGCTTCTGCTGCAGTTGCTCCTGGTGTCCTGTCACAGAACAGGCAAGACCTCCTTGCTTCTGACCTACAACAGCTGCAAGCGAATGTGTCTCTGCACCAATAATACCGACACACACAGCAGCAGCAGGGGCAGCAGCAACAGCAAGAGCATCAGCAGCATCAGCAGCAGCAGCAGCAGCAGCAGCGGCAGCAGCAGGAGCAGCTGCACCAGCAGGAGTGCCAAGGTTAGGGGCGCCGTTCACAAGCACTGCTTCTGTTGAGTCCCAGAGCTGAAACTCCCAGGGCAGGAGCGAAAAATCTGATGCGCTGTTGTTGGTGTGTCCAGCAAAATCACCAGAAAATCCTGAGACGTTGAACGGAATTTCTTCCAACACCCCTAGTGCCCCTCCAAGGCTCTCCATGCCTGTCTGGTTGCTGGGGCCGGAGCTGAGAGGATTGCCGAAAGATGTGCTGGGAAGGCTACAGAGAGGGTTATGGAAAGGGTTGCTGGAGTGGCCATGATGGATATGCGGCGCCCCAGCAGGCGAGCCATCCATATCCATGGCTTGCATTAGATTCATCCACTCCGTAGCCTCTGCTGCTGCTGCTGCTGCTGCTGCTGCTGCAACGCATTCCGTTCCTTCTGAATCTGCTGCTACGCCACCCATGTGTTCTGCAATCCCTTCAGCACTATCCCGCCCTGATATTGATGCCATACTCTGCTTTCCAACCTGCTCGTCTGTGCCCAACTCAGCTCCCATTTCAGGATCTGCAAACGCCGCTGCTGACTCAGGGGTGACACCAATGGCCCCAGCAGGGACAGCAGCGATGGTGTAAGATCCTGCTGCGTCTGCCGCTGCTGCTGCTGCTGCTGCTGCCCCTGCTGCGTCTGCTGCTGCTGCTGCTCCTGCTGCCACTGCCGCCTTATTTGCAGCCCTGGCGTCAATAGCAGAGGCAGCAGCTTTGGCATTGTTATTGACAGCAGCAGATCCCGGCGCAGCTGCTTCACCAGCATCAGAAGCCGTTGCAATAGCCTCGTGATCATGTGTAGTGGGAGCCGTGTCTACAGCAGCGGCAGCAGGAACAGCAGAAGCAGCAGCAGCAGGTGCAGCAGGAGCAGGCGCAGGGGGGGCAGCAGGAGCAGCGCAGGGCCTTATGGGAGGGGAAAGGGCAAGATGTGGGGTCTGCTTCTGGATGCCGGCAAGAATGCCTCTCATAGGGACCTCAAAGGGAGGATCAGAGCCGGGAATGGCACACTCCTCCAGCGAGACGTGCATAGGACTGGCTTGGAAGCAAGCAGGTGTGTCGTGGCATGCTGAAGGACAGGCAGGAGGAGGAGCAGCAGGAGGAGCAACAGCAGTAAGGGACGCAGGAGCAGCAGCAGAAGCAGCAGCAGCAGCAGGAGGAGCAACAGCAGGAGGAGAAGCAGGGGCAGCAGCAGAAGCAGCAACAGCAGGAGGAGAAGCAGGAGCAGAAGCAGAAGCAGCAACAGCAGGAGGAGAAGCAGGAGCAGCAGCAGAAGCAGCAACAGCAGGAGGAGAAGCAGGAGCAGCAGCAGAAGCAGCAACAGCAGGAGGAGAAGCAGGAGCAGAAGCAGAAGCAGCAACAGCAGGAGGAGAAGAAGGAGCAGCAGCAGAAGCAGCAACAGCAGGAGGAGAAGCAGGAGCAGCAGCAGAAGCAGCAACAGCAGGAGGAGAAGCAGGAGCAGAAGCAGAAGCAGCAACAGCAGGAGGAGAAGCAGGAGCAGCAGCAGAAGCAGCAACAGCAGGAGGAGAAGCAGGAGCAGCCATGAGGGCAGCAGCAGCAGGAGGAGGAGGCGCTTTGGCAGCAGCCATGAGGGCAGCAGCGAGGACGGAGGCAGCGGCATGAGAATGCGCCGGCTGAGCCAGCAGCACCTGCATTACAGCTGCATCCAACGCCGCTGCTCCCCTTGGCACGTCCGACAGCCGCGCCAGGGTGGACGGCAGGAAAACGGGCCGAACCGTACACTCAGCAGGCACGGCAGCCGTACACGCAGCAGGCGCAGCAGCCGTACACGCAGCAGGCGCAGCAGCCGTACACGCAGCAGGCGCAGCAGCCGTACACGCAGCAGGCGCAGCAGCCGTACACGCAGCAGGCGCGGCAGCCGTACACGCAGCAGGCGCGGCAGCAGTACCAGCAACAGAAACAGCAGCAGAAGCAGAATAAATTTCTGTGGCTCCAGCAGTGCTATATGGTGCAGAGGTGGTAGATCCTGGAGCAGCAGCAGGAGCACCAAGCGCAGATGCGGCAAGTGCAGAGGCGGCAGACATGGCAGCACCAGCCATGCTTCTGGGCACTCGGAAGGGACGGCGGCTCTGCCCGCTGCGTGTGCACGCTGCCGGAGCGACCAAAGAAGTGGGAGACGCAAGAGCGACAGGGTTGCAATGGAGGCTGCTGCTTTCAGAGAGATACGCATCGACAGCCCCGCTGCTTCTCCCGTTGCCCATACCACTGCCACCACTACCACCACCATTACCGCCACCATTACCACCACCATCACCACCACCGCTGTCAGCAGCAGCACCCTTCCCAGCGCCACAGAAGCTGCTGTTGATGCTTCCACTGGGCACACTTCCCGCCAGCATGCAATAGCTGCTGCCAAACACGTTCCTGCTGTTACTGCTGCTGCTGCTGCCGGTGCTGTTACTTGTGCTGGTGCCACAGCTGCCTGCAGAATCCAGAGGCAGAGAGTGCAGCACAGGAGCCCCAGAGGGCGACACAGCTGACCAGAGAGGCTCTCCTGGCAGCAACATCCCTGGCAGTAAGTCTGCCCTGCTGCATGGACTTCCAGAGAGGAGAAGAGCCTGCACAATGCTGGCTGCAGTGGCACACTCAGTGCCGGCTGTAGCAGCAACCTGAATGCCAGCTGGAGCGGCAAGAGCAGTGTTTATTGGATGATGCTGCATGGGCACAAGCTGCATCCCTGAAGGCTGCAATGCTGTGGGGTTTTGGAGACCACAAGGTTTGTCACCACCTCGGCTACCCTTGTTGCTACCTCTGCCAATCTTGTTGCTGCCTCTGCCAATCTTGTTGCCGCCTCTGCCAATCTTGCCGCCGCCTCTCCCACTCTTCCCACCACCTCTGCCACTGTTATCGCTGGAAAGTGGTGCTGCCGCGGCACCTTGAAGACTGCAGAGTCCAGCGCTGGCTGCTGAAGCAGCAGCAGTAGCCAGAGCATCAGAAGTAGCAGCAGCCGTAGCAACAGTAGCAGCAACAGAAGCAGAAGAAGCAGGAGCAGCAGCAGCAGTAGCAGCAGCAGCAGCTGACGCAGCAGACGCAGAAGCAGTTGTTCTTCCCAGCAACATCCGGTTGCCAACCATTATGCCGCCACAGCCATTCGGAGAGGCACTGGCACTCGGAGCATGACCTCCCGATTGGAGGAAACCACAGGTGGTACCAGTTCCAGTCATAGCAGCAGGCGCAGGCAGAATCCTTCGAGGAACGAGCGCCATCGGGGAGGCCTCACTATAAGGTGGCGGCCCCACTTCGAGCTTCTCCTCTTTCGCTGCTCCAACTGCCACGGCGCTGCTCCAGACAGCAATATTGTGACTGGTAGTGGTGGTTGTGGTGGTTGTCGTGGTGGTGTGTGCACTACCCTGAGAGCCGGTGCACCAGTTGCTCCTACTGCCACGTTTGCCGGCAGCTGCGCAGCTACCCGGATGAGTAAGATGATGGTTCTTAGAGGCCAGGCTTTTTTTCGGTTTTCTTCTCAACTTGCGGGGACACTGGCCCGGGGTTTCGTGGTTGTGAGTGTACATGTAACGAGTATGCAGTGTACTGGACGTGACCTTGCTGGACGGGTCAATCTCCACTACTTTGCACGCCCGGCATGGGGAGGATTCGGCTCGCGACCACACGCACTTGTAGTACGCCCTGCCACGTGGACGTCGGGATGACAGGGGTGATGAGGGGAGACCGGGATACAGAGGGGAATAAGGGGGACAGATTGAGGTTTGAGAGGGTGAGAAGGTGAGGGTGGGTGAGAGGGTGGCAAAAAGTGCGATCACATCGAAAGAGAAATTGGCCAAAGTTGTTTTGTCGGTTCCCCTAGCCTGCTGCATGCTGCTTTGGCGCTTGTGTGTTGCTGGTGCTGCCGATGCTGGTGATGCTACTGCCACGGCCAACGACCAGCGCCGCTCCGTACCTTATGGTTGACCGAGATGCCGTGGTGCGCTTTTCGCCGTATTTGAGCCAATTGAAGCCGTCCGAGTTAACGATCTGCTGAATCCGCGCAGCGCGACTGACGGCCTCCTCCAACTCACCATCGCCAGCACCACCATCAAAACCACCACCATCACCATCACCATCACCATCACCATCGCCATCATCAACATCATCAGCCGCAGCATGTTCTGACGAAACTGGTGTAGGAGAGCTGATAGTGGTAGTAGTGGGAGTTGTGGTCCGAGGTGTGGGAATAGGAGTGGTGGTGGTGGTGACTGTGCCAGTAGGAGTGACGTCACTGGGAGATTCAGGCAATGGAAGGTGACACGCCGGCGCAATACATGTACTCGTAGAAGGATGATGGCTGTGCCCGTTATTTTGCAGTGAGAATTGGCCCTCAAGCCTACTGCCAGACACAACACCAGCAACGGGAGCCGCAGCCGCCGCAGATCCGTGCCGCACTGGCCCATCCACATGCTCTTCATTATGAAGATCATGAAGGTCACGACGTACTATCATCGTCGTGGCGGTGACGGCTGCCGGTACTACTACTACACCATGATCATCATGATGCCGGCTCATCACAGGGTGATCATCCATCACAGCGGCGGCGTACTAGTAGAAGCATTAACTCCTCTTTTAGTTGCAAGCGCGGGAGCGCCGGGTTGAAAGTGCTTGCATCGTATTTTCCAGAGTTCGCAGCGCGGCGCGGCGCCCCCAGAGCCGACGAGCAGCGCCGATAGTACAATAACGAGCACAACTATCAGAATGGTGAGTATTTCCTTGTATTAGAGTCTGCGCCAGCGCAATAACGAACACGCCTACTACTTGCATGGTAATCAGGGCTTTCGAACAATATCGTATACTAGGTCGGACCTTTGCGCTTGAGCGGGCTGTGTACGGTGGGGGTAAACTCTCGGGAACGGCGCCACGGAATTAGCGTCACCCGGCACAGATTTCCCACTAGAGCTGCAGACAATTTTAGGCTTGGGTAGGGCATCCACGAGCTACGGTTTGAAGGCTTTGCAGCGGTTGAGTTTGACCATCAGACCCATAGCACTTGTTCTCTGACCTGCTGATGCGGCCCACCATGCGCGCAAGCATTGGGGGGGCTTGGTCTGCAGATCCTTGAGCGCTTCATGCGGACTGTCTCCCACGTGGGCGAAATGGGAATCCGGCACCGTCAAACACGGGGAACTGATGGAGTGATGCCTCTGTTAGTTGGGGCGGTGGTAAGGTGGAGTGAGGTGAACCAAGCAAAGCAAGGGGAGTTCGACACCACACGTGGGATGCGTATGCCAGATTCGCAAAAAATCCGAACCTGTAATGCTATCCGCCGCAGACGGCGTTGTAAACTGACCAGCACATGCTAACTAGTCCAGGCTGTCAAGGTTCGAAAACCAAGAAAGACAAACGGATGTACATTGTACAGTGCGTTCAACCCAGCTGTCCAGGCTGTCAAGGTTCGTTGGTCATCCACCTTCTCGCCCTTCCGACCATTTAGGGTAGTGTATCGCACAAGAGGGGGCAATATGTGTCTGCGTTTGTCGAGCAAGCCAGAAACTCACAATCCTCT